GCCATCTCATCATGAACATTTTCTCTTTCTTTTATTTTAATTATTTGAAAGCTGTGCCCCTCTCCTCACCATAACTTAATTTGAATTATAACAGGGGATGTATAAGTCGGAGATAACAAACTAGGCTATATGCCTGGGTAGTTAAGTAGTGCTGATGATAGTGCTGGGACTGGAGATAGGAAGAACAGTGGCAGAAGAAGGGAAACAGTCCCATGTTGATATGGCTGATTTGAACTGGCAATTGGCTGATGCAGACAAGGAGCAAGGAACCTGTGCCCATAGTCCTGCAGACATGTAGGTATTCCATTGGATTGCACACGTGCTGATCAGGGTCCCAGACACATGCAGCCCATGCTAAATGGGTGGGCATCAAGGGGGTGGGGCAAAGGTAGAAGGCCTTGATTCCATGCATGCACCCCCACATTGTGTAGGATGTTATACACAATCCATCCACTTGTGGCAGGGGAGGGACTCAGTGGTAACGCTCATGCTTTGAATGAAACTGGTCTCAGGTACAAAACTGGTAGTACATCCAGTTTCACTTGTGAGCTGAGAAAGGGGTTCAACTCACCTGCCATGTTGACCTTTTGGGCACAGTTCAACTGAGAAGGTCTTCCATTTTCTTATGCTTCTCCCATTCATTTTCAATATGCATCTGCTGGAGAAATGCCTGTTAAATGGCGTATTTTGACCATTTTAAAGCAAAGGTGTTTGTTCTGTAAGCAGGGATGGGCAAATATGTCTTTTTCCAGTCTGTGACATTTTCACATGTCATTTCCACAATTCTGTTCCATTCCACTCAGTATTAATCCTCTCTCTCTCAACTCCCTGCTCCTAAATAGTGTTCAAATTGTGTTGGATCTTAACTTAGCCTTTTGAGAACAGGCTTTTGGTGCAGTGGAAAATCCCACTGGTTGAACTGGGGAGAATGCAATTTTTGCACATTTCTTCCTCACCCCCCTGCAGCTCTCGCCATCCATTTGTTGACTATCGTGGACAAAATGTTAAGCCACAAAATCAAGCTCAAGGATCCTGCTGTGATCGGTATGCTGAAGTGACCAAACCTTTCTCAGAAATAGGCAACACCTACCATTTGTTTCACACCTGCAAAACATTTGTTTCATTATGTCCTTTTATTAGGTGCCCCATGGCCAAAGAGTCTGTGTAGGAATTGCTGGCCTTCTGTGAAACAAATTCTATAGATCCGAGGCCATGTAAAGAAAAAGCAGCTATTTTGCCTGATATTATTTTACTTGTTTCTGTGATATTTCAAGGGTGGGTTTTATAATTGCTCCTTTTACAGAAAAGACAAAAAGGAAATGCAGTTCTTGTAGGAACAAAAAAATTGGACATTTCCAACAAGTAATTCTCCAAAACTGATCTGAAGATTTGCTTACATGTAGTAGACATGAGGGCTAGTTTGGTCTACTAGTCTTTTTGCTTTTATGGAGACACCAACTGCCTACCAGCATATTGCCATCAACAGGGTGTCAGTAAACTGGTAAGATGAGTGTGCTGTTATGTGGGTTCTTCGTTCCTGGAAACGAGACATATGGATGAATGTGCTGTTTCCTCTCATTCTGTTTTGTGTTCTATTCTAGGTTATTAATAATATGGAAGCCTTCATAATGAAGAGATTTCACCAAAGTCTTTTGGCTCTAGGGGACATTGCAAAACATATACACATGGTATAGCATTGCATTGCTTTTTTTTTTTTTTGTAGAACCCCACCCTACTGACTTTGAAATCACTTACTTTTCTTGTGGTCTTAAGAAGATTTGATCTCCCCGCACCTCTTACGAAGTACTTGTTACCACAGCATTTAAGGCCTAACTCGTGAATTGTGAACTTGTGGTGTGTCAGGTGGTGATGGACTCCAACTCCAATCAGCCTCAGCCAGCATGGCCAATGGTCTGGGATGCTGGGAATTCAGTTAGTGTGCAGTTACGTTGATGGAAACCTTGAGAGAGTTCTTTGCTCTGCAAGGCCACCCACTGATGTGTTAAAATACAAACAAAACAAAATAGTTACATCATTAGGGGGTTCATGGCATAAGGGAGGGAAACACGTGGTTCACATGTGGACTGCTCATATTCAGTCCTTGCGAACTTCAGCTAAAAGGGTCAGATAACAACAATACTGTACAGATACTGCACCTTGTGACCTTGAAGAGCTGCTGTAAGTCAGAGTAGATGATGCATTAGATGAACAAGTAGTCTGATATCGTATAAATCAGCTTTTGATGTTCAGGGAATTGTTTTCAGGGAAATGTATTACTTCAATTTAAACTATTCCCCCCAATGGTTTATAAGCAGTTCAAATGAACAGGAAGCTATACCTCTCTTTTGGGGTTCTCTCCCTGATCTCCCTAAGAGCTGATTACATAGCAGCATACAATAAATAATTTACATTGGAATGGCTGTTTTGTATTCTATCGCTGTAGCATAAATATTCCTTGTAGTAGTGGAAAGTGATCTTTAAGGCAATCTGATGGTATTAGGGGACAGTGCAGTGGGTTATAAAAAACAAACAAGGGTTAAAAACATGAAACTACCAGTTCTCTTCCCCACTTTGGTTTAAGAAAGGGAGGACACTGCTTTCTGTTGGAAAACAGTAAATCAAATACCCTTAAGAGGGATTTGGGGAATTGACGTGCTTTGCACAAATTCTTCTGAAACATGAACATGTGTGGTTTGTGTGTGTACAGTTAAATGCTTTTTAGGGTGGAAGTTTTTCTAAGTAGGGCTGTGTTGCTCTCTGTTTAGAATGAAAGAGACAGCTGCAGGTATCCATAAGAACTAACTCTATCACAGTGACAGAATGAAAAAAAACATTCCTACATGTGTTACAGATTGCTTAGAACTTGGATAAGACCACTGGAAAAATGATTTTGCACTGCAGTCCAAGATAATCTTTGGTATGCATAACACAAGTATATGTGTGCCTAAGGAGGACAAGTTATTTTAGAGAGCATTTAACTGGGATTCTCAACAGGAAGGCCCTCCTTGATCTCCCGGCTACTTCCTTGGTCCACTTTGGCAAACAGATCAAACCAGAAACTATTGAATCGTTCTCCAATGGCTGGTGTTTGTACAGAGAGGATTTGATTTGCAACTGAAGCGAGGAGCTATCCAACCCTCCGTGGCCACTTTGAAATGCAGCTGGGCTACCTGCTTGTCACCAGTCAATCACATGGTATCATATGACATCACATTGAAAGTTCAAGCTGGGGCCGCAAAGGAATCAGATGCCCAAAGACCTGTTTTTATTTCTACCACAATATTTTCAATTTTATGAAGGCCGATTTTGGAGCAGGCGAGTAGTAGATGGAACCTTCAGTGCGTACTTAGAACTATGCTTTGGTTGAATTTGTTGTAGAAAGATAACCAGTATGTGAGGAACTGGAGTGCAAAGCTTAATTTCCAGCATGGATACCTTGCAGGTATACTAGATGCTAACTCTTCATTTCCAACATGCTAATCTTCTCTGTATCGTTCCAATTTTAGTATATGTGCTGCTGGAGCGAGCATGTTGGAAATTTAAAGAAGTAGAAGGCACCTTTCTTCATATGTGGTGGACATTGAAAAAAGTTGAAGTATATTGGGTATATTGGAGTGGAAATTTATGTTGAGTATATTGAAAATAATTGTGTACAGTTAAAAACTCTGGCAGTATTAAAATAATTCAACAGTTAACATATTTTGAACTGATGTAAGATGGGAAAATCAAATTGGATGGATATATTAAAATATGCAGGAATGGCAGATAAGTTAAATGAACCTTGGAAGGGGAGGGAGGGAAGTCAATGAACGCATGGTATAATAAAAGATGTTTAAATTGAAATGTAAAATTTGAAAATTGAATAAAAATTATTTCAATAAATAAATAGATGCTAACTCTTCAATAATCAAGGAGAATAACAGCATCCTGAAGAATCTGGATCCCACACCAGTTTATTGCTCTAAGAAAGTGGAAGCTCAGTTATCTTTTATTTTGTCATTGTTTTGTAGAACTAACTTGATGGCTGTATTACACTACTTCAGACAAAATTTAAGCCCAAGACACCACTGTGTCAGAAAACTTCTGATACAACAATGTGAATTTCCAATGGAAACGATAGAGAAAAGCCTTGAGGAAAACCATATGTTCACATTTTAACATGAATAAGTCATCTCCTCTGTAAAATGTAACCATAATTTGGAACCCTTCCCAGGAGAATTGATGTCGTTTCCCTTTTCCTGTCTTCAGTGTAAATGATGAGAATCATTTTGCTTTGCTTAGGCTGTAGGAGCAAGATTTTTAATTGGTTGGTCTTCATCCCTCCCCACCCCACCCCAGCATACATTTCAATATAAGTATATATATTTTTCATTTTTCCCCCAGAACAGGTGGGAAGGCTCCATTCTGCTAGTTAATTATTCTTTTAATTTCTTTTATGGCTTAGTCTAAGTATCTGAGGGCTGCAAATAGCTTTGTAGTGTGTAAAATGGAATGTTGGACATCAGTCTTGTTGCGAACTACTCGCCCAAGCCAAATAACAATTCCTTCTAGGTAAAGTAGCACATTGGGTCCAATACTCCAGCTGTCCTGTGACATGGGATTGTCTCTCTTGTGACCTGCTAAAAGTTATGAGAAAGTGCATTTGGGGTGTTCCTGTAGAAGGCTGTATTTGTTCCACCATTATCAGAATGCAGTTGTACCCTGTCAACAGGTACACTTGAACAAAATTTGTGGTCCCGATCTCCATGACGAGCAATATTTTCTGATGACATTGACCTAATATTGCTGATGACTAAATGGAATCGGATTCTGTGAAAGAAAAGGAGCTTAAAAGTCACGGTTGAAACTGAGAAGCATACTTAAGGAAATAGTTCAGTAACACTATTGATTTGGCTGGTGTTTACTGCATTGCTTTAGGATGTAATATATGACAGCCCTCATGTTATAATTCCCCCCTCCTGCATTGGTGTGATGTGGCTCTGTTCTTCTCTTTTAAACAGGGTTTGTCCCAGATACCATTCCATTATCACAGGAGAGCCGTGGTTGCTGGTAAACATCTCGCAGGTAGGAAATAATCTATGAACCTTCTAGGTTGTTCACCCTTCAGTATCTTCAATCGGATTCCCCCAGCGTTTTAGCTAGAGCTGCTTCACATTTTGTACGAATCTTTTTCCATTGGCATACTCAAAGCATGTGTACAGAGAGTTGAAAAAACCACATAAGCAATAATCACACTTCAATTGTCTACCCACATGCAAGTTGTTAACTATTAACTACTGTGTAGGAGTTTTGTAACATGGGGTGCTCATTTTCATAAATTTAGGTCAGAAAACTTCTTAAAGTTGCTTTGGAAATATGGAAAAATATGGAAAAATCATCCAGAAAACAATTTTAATACAGGATCTTCATGGATTCCTTCTCCTTTCCTCCCTGAGTTGTAAAGGGTGTTTGTTAAATATTAAAAATACGGCCTAATAAGACCTGCAATGCTGTCCTAGGGTTCTTTTGAGCAATTCACCCGTTCTCTGAGAAACACATCAAAGGCCCTTTATGAACAGTTGTTCACCCCATGCATCTCTCTCTCTCTCTCTCTCTCTCTCTCTCTCTCCCACCCACCCTGTGAGAACTCTATGGGGTTGTCCACATTTCTGTCCTTAAAACCCTTTTGTGTGAAAAACTCAGACATATTGTGTGTGTGTGTGTGTGTGTGTGTATAACAGATTCTAGCATAATACTTCCACAACTTCTAAATGCGGTAGCAGGAAAGATCAAGTGGATGACTCATTCTCAGATTGGATTGTAATTTTAGCTAAGAAAAACACATTCATGATGTTCCAACAGCTAACGCTTGTTGCAGGGATGTTCTCTTGACGAGGGCTATCATCAATCCTTGCCGAACCTCTTTCATACTGCAAGATCTGTTACTGAGAAAAGCAGGTGTTGAAAGAGATGGTGCATATTACAAAGACATAAAACATTCCAGGAGTTGACTTGCAAAAAAGCAGAGCCAGCTGGTGGCAGAGGACAGTAAATTCAGTGTTATGTTGATCCTGCTTTGTTGGCAGACAACATCTGGGCAGCAAAGTTCACACAGCTGGATAAATGTTGCACCCTGTAGTTTCTTTTTCCACTTGGACTGAAATGGAGGTGTTGGGCATATAATCTGACCTGAACACGAGGCCAAGATGGTGCTGTGCAACAGTATTTCCATTCTGTCTGTATCTGTCCTCGTTTCCCCTCATCTCTGCCTCCTCGTTGAAACAGAGAATGTGGAGACAACTTGGTGCTTCAGATAAACAAGATATATAAAGCAGATGATGTAATGAACAGCCTGCATTATTGTACATAACAATTGATCCGAATGTGGAATTTTGTAGACACACTTCCTTCTGGAAGAACGATTTGGAGAGCAAGCCGTATTCTTCCAGTGGCTCTTTGTTTTATTTCTCCATGTATTTATAAATAAAAGTATTTATACCTTGTATACCTGGTCCAAAAGCCAGACCACCCAAATTGAAATATGAACATAGAGCAGTGTAAGGCCAGGTGTCTCTCTCTAGACTGAGCCTGTGTCTTGTTCTACTCATACCACTTTTGCTGTATGCTTTTGCATGCTCATCTCAATGTATCTTCAACTGCTGCTGCTGCTAAGTGTTGCCTTGGTCCCATAGCCATATTATATGGAGAAGTGGTAGCCTTCTGGCTACAGAAGATTGGGAAACACCAATCTAATGGACAGATGAGATCAGCCCAATTTGGTGCCTTCCAGATGTTTTGGAATGGAGCAGATGGGAATTAGAGTCCCAAACTTCCTGAGGACACCAGAATTGGGAAGTGTCCCAGAAATAGACCTCATGAATGAATGTAATCAGAGAGAGAGAGAGAGAGAGAAACTCTGGGCCAAATTTAGTGAAATTGTTCCATTAGTGGGAGCCAGCACAAGAGCTCCTGCTAGAGCAACAGGGCTTTCCCCCCCTCACTCTTTTACACAGAATGATCAGTAGCAAGATACTTACATGTGTGTATGCACAAAAGGGGCACAAATCCAGAATTTTGCAAGCTATCGAAATCAATGTGTAAATTAGGAACTTCTGTGAGAAATTACAGTGTGGTCTATTTTTGTGTTTGAGGATATATCTTCCAAGCAATGTAGAATCCTGATTATTGCACACCTCACAAAAAATTGTTTGCATAGAATTGTACAGTTGGGGACTCTGAGAGCCATCTAGTCCTTCCCCCTGCAATGCAGGAATCTCAACTAAACCATGTGCATAGAATCATAGAATTGCAATGCTGTTCTTTCTGTGACTGGTGTCCAAAGGGCAGAATCCTCTAGCTTCTCAGAGCGCATACTCCAAAACCACTATTGAAGATTGGACAGTCTTCCAGAATAGCATGTGATGCACCTGAAAAGGAGATCAGGACTCCCAATGCACCTCCGGAAGCTATTTTCACATGGGCACTCTTTGGGGAAAAAAGGGGGGATGCGGGTGGCGCTGTGGGTTAAACCACAGAGCTTAGGACTTGTCGATCAGAAGGTTGGCAGTTCGAATCCCCGCGACGAGGTGAGCTCCTGTTGCTCGGTCCCAGCTCCTGCCAACCTAGCAGTTCGAAAGCACGTCAAAGTGCAAGTAGATAAATAGGTACCACTCCGGCGGGAAGGTAAACGGCGTTTCCGTGCGCTGCTCTGGTTTGCCAGAAGCGGCTTAGTCATGCTGGCCACATAACCTGGAAGCTGTACACTGGCTCCCTCGGCCAATAAAGCAAGATGAGCGCCGCAACCCCAGAATCGGCCATGACTGGGCCTAATGCTCAGGGGTTCCTTTACCTTTACTCTTTGGATAACAGCTTTTTTTTTAATGTAGAAGAAACAAAAATGTTTCACATTGCGCCATGTTGTGTCCCTGTCCTAGGCTTGATAAAGATTTTTAATGTTGTGCTCTTGAAAGCCTTTAATAATTTGTACAGATTTATCATGGCCCTTTCCCAGGCAAATGGAAGTTTGTTCATTTCTTTTCACATTCATTCATAAATACAATATTGTAGAGTACTTCCTACACCTCAGATGTGGGAGAGTTGGCATTATGTGATAGTTGATAGCTGTAGGTTGGCAAAAAGACAGCATTTTCCCTTCATCTTTTTCCTGCTTTCTAAATATGCCTGTTCACACTGCTGCCAGAGTCTTCTGTAGACCTCATAGTCAGCTAACAGGCTCATGTAGGTCTCAAAATGAAGACAGCTGGGCCAGATCATGCCAATTGCTATTCCCTTTCCCAGAGCCAGCCCACTTGTTGCTTCCCACTCTGAAAACATTCGGAGAGTTTGTCATCCTTAGTAGTGGAAAAAACATATGGTGTTTTGAGCAATGACGATATCAACAAAGGAACTTTTCATTTAAGTACAGCAATAGGGATAGATATGGAGTCTGAATTATTCATAAAGGGGAAAATTGAATAGCAATTGTGATCACTAAATCTTACGGAGTTTATTCATTAACTATATTCAGCTGCTTATACTTTTGCACTTTCCCTTTCAACTGAAAAGTATCCACTTATTTTGGGCTTAACATGCACAGGTGAAACAAAAAGTAGAAAGAACAGAAATCGTTTGTACTTTTATATGCAAATATTGTGCCATGATAAATAGTGTAGTGGTAAATTTGCAGGTATAGGTGAGCATAATGGCATAACCCATAACCATATTTCCAGGGCCATCAACAGATGGGTAGGAGGAGTCAGATTTACGTGGGGCAGGGGCAAGGCCAGCAGACTCTTACCTTTATTTTTTAAAAGTGAGTACATTGGACATCTCTGAAGAAAGTTAGGACACAAAACATGAAGGTAGCTCTCATGCTTTGGTACTCAGCAGGCAGCACAATTGCTAAGGACACTTAATCACTTAAACACATGGGTGTCCATAGCTGGTCTAAGCGGGGGACAAAGCTGAATAATCATGCAGGATAACCTCTCCCTTGAATTTTGTGCACTTACAACATGATGCTTTTTGTTCAAAGGAGCCATGGAAACTGGTGCAAATATATAGCTAGATAATAAAGGAAGACAAATGGGTTTAATTTTTGCAGCTGTCTTTTCCCAACTTCGCATAAGTAGGAGTGTGGTACTAGTCACCACTTGTGGCACTGCTGCCCAAGCCTTAGTGTGGTCTGATGTCATAGATCACCCACTCATGCATATAAACAACGTTGTCTAAAAATATATTGGTTTATATTTTTAAGGATACAGAAAATACATTGCGTTTGAAAAAACATTGAATGCATTTTTAATAGATAAAAAGGGGATTGCAGACAGCATGTGTTAGGGATTGAAATGTATATGAACCCCTGGGACACTATATGACTAACTACATGGTTCATCTATATTTAAGCAACTTCATATTATCTTGCTATCCAGTTATATTCTTATTCTCATTTCTCTCTTCCACAGTCAGCTTTTAATGCCCTGAATGTTATATACCAAATATGGTGGGGTGTTTTTTTGTTTTTTAAAAAGATAAATGGTGACCCATAAAATGGAACATTATTGTGTCATGTAAAATATATATGCTACAACACCTGAGTTACTGTCATGTATCATATTTGTTATTGGTATAAATACACTCCATTCCTTTATGGCTGGAATAACTGCAGGGCCACCATGGTTTAGCTAGCGAACATTAATGCAGTTCTCTTAGACCTCATGTGCAGGTGTTGACAGATCTTTGTTTTTCTTATGGCTTCTTCTAACAATTCAAAATTAAAGGAAACGAGAGAGTTCTGAATTTGATCTCTTTAGCATTAATGGAGGAATGTACAAATGAGCCATCTGCAATGCATGCTGCAAGAATCTCTCTCTCTCTCTCTCTCTCTCTCTGTGTGTGTGTGTGTGTGGCAAGATAATTAGTTTTGAGAAGATTTGTGCAGCATTATGGCAAGATGGAGGAAAAATGGAAGATGTGCTATTATATATCAGTGTCTTGGAAAGACTGATATGAACAGCTGAGACCACACTGTGTGCACCAATGCTGATAAGTAATGTGCTTGCCTGATATGGGGACTGACTTGAGCT